CGGCGATTATCTGAGATTGGGTGGCAGAACCCAGTGGTTTCGTCGCTGTGGCCTGCAGTGTATATTTTTTCTCATTCGCCATGAATGAGTGATCAAATAGCTGTTTACGAACAAAATATTTACATTGAATTCTCTGGCCCAATTTTGAGAGATCTCGTTTGACTACGCCCACTTATTGCAAGACGGTAGGTGTAATTACTGTATTCAGCAGAGCTCATATTGTCGACACTATCAATGATTTATCGAGTATCCGCCTATTTGTTTAAAGGCAGTGGCTCGGCAAAACCGAACATCTCGAAATTTTGATATGAAAGGTTGCTTGCACCCCAAGTATGAGAACTGAGCAGGTCCGAGCGTACGGCATGCTGCCCCTGCCTAGAAAACTGCCCTTAAACCCGTACGCGCAAGCCATTCTTACACGCGCTCAGACGAGCTTGCGATTCCCCTCTCACCGTCAGAGGACGCATGCCGCAATGTTATATTCATGGGGGTCCCGCAACGACTCTGCGTCTTTAACCATGTCCGAGACCGTTCCACTCGTCCAGATTCAAAATGAGAAATCTTGGAAAATGCTGGTTTTCGCGGTTTTTGCGTTCCTTAAGGTGGATTGAATTCTGCGTCGAATTACCCTGGGTAAGCAAAAAAACCTCAGGTCGAGGATTTGCCGAGCCACTGCCTTTAAGGCCTTTACCTTGCTGCAAACTTAGTGAGTTCTCAAAGCTAAATGTATCGCGCTACGATATTTCATAAAGATGTGGGTGCGGTAGGAACGCTGCCCAACGATATCAACTTGTTAATTTTTCAAAGTCTATAGTAAAAAGTGCACAAGCTTGATGGAAGGTAAATGCGGTAATCAGTAAATGCGGTAATCACGAATCAAATAGCCCTTATCTAAGAAGGGGGAGAGGAAGTGCATATAGTGAAGACCAAGGTTTTTGTGTATCAGTATGTTGGACCCAGGTTAGTACGGTGGTATGATTTATTCGAAATTACGTTTCGACACAGTCGTCGTGTCGTCTTCAGAGGTCTGAAGCAGACTGCGGTTTGAATCTGGGAGACAGGCCCACCAAAGGCCATCGCCAAACATCAGTGAGCCAGATTTCGTCTCGCGCGCAATGTACTGAGACACGGTGAAGAAACACCTTTGTTCCACAGCGGTGTTATTGGGTTGTTTCATACTGCAGTCGCGGCAGCTACTGCAATCATATGGGGGTGGGCAAAAGATATCGATCGATTGACTGCTGTTGCTGCAGCGACTGCAGTATGAAACAACTCATTGAGGAAGTCAGTAGCCACACAAATGACACGGTCGATACTTTTAGCTACTCATGATTTGATTAATATGCAGGGTGTCCCAAAAAATGTATCCACTGTTTGATTGTTAATAACTCTCTTATTATGAGGTATTTCGAGAAGCGGTAGGCGCCATTTTGTAGAGCTCGCTTCAGCTTATATTTACAGTATAGAGCGAATCGTCCATCTTTCTCCGCTACTGTAGGATTACGGTAGAAACTTGAAAGAGGGTTCTGAGCCATGAAAGGCCATATTTTGCCTCAGAAAGGAATCAAAACAGCCTTAAAACTTTTACACTAGGCTAAGAGTTGCTGATTCTAACTGTAAAGTTCCCAACTTATTATGATGCTTCACTGAAGAGTTCCCAACTTATTATGACGAGGTAAGCAGTAGCGGCCATTTTCTCAGTGTTCGTTAAAAGTGCGGTTACGTCGTTTAGAAAGCTTCGCAATTTTGAGAATAGTTGAGTATTGAACTCAGCGTCCCTAAAAACCCTATTACACAAGTTTTCACATCTTTTTGAAAATTTTTGAAACGGCAGCTTTTTCCACAGCGACACCATATGCTCCAAGTTTCTACCATAATCCTACAGTAATGAAGAGCGGTCGGTAATTCGCTCTATACTGTAAATCTAAGTTGAAGCCAGCTCTACAAAATGGCGCTTACCGCTTCTCGAGACCTCATAATAAGAGAGTTATTAACAATCAAACAGTGGATACATTTTTTTGGGACAGCCTATATGTGCATGCTCTAACTCACATATCACATATGGCCGGGTTTGTTCGTTCCTAATAAGCATCATTTTTGTTATTCATGCGCAACGGAAATACATGCTGCTCCATACTTTTTCGTACTACAATTTCTGCCTTGCATGATGGAAATGTGCATTTTACATCACTGCCATTGTGTGCTTCCATCCTATATTTTCTCAGTGGTGACAATGCATTGGCTCCCTTTATATTCGTTAAATGCTACTTTATTACCACCCTCAACATTGTAGTATGAGAAGTAGTATGAGTATGAGAAGTATGTCTATATCGTGGCGCTTCTCCAGTATGAGAAGCGCCACGATTTAGACACCATTGGTACATGACCTAATCTTCGCGCGTCGTCTCCTAGCCTTCGCGCATAGCCTATCCTTCCGTATGCCGTTTCTCGAAAGACACTCATCGTCATCATAGTCTACCTCACTAACTGTTTCTTGATGTGTCATTCAAAATGTTTACAGCTATGACTTATTTTGGAGTATCCCTAATGTTTGATTGCTAAGCTGATTGCTTCAGAAACTCAGATAATCGCCGGGGGCAGGCGGTCCGCAAACTCGCGCTTTTCTGCAGGCGGTCAGCAGAATTTTGGGGCGTGGCCAAACCTTCAGCGGGCGGTACTTCCGCGTTCTGCCAGCGGGCAGCAATACAGAATTTTCTGCGAGCGCTCGTCAAATAATATCTTCCAGCGAGCGCTGGCCAAACTTTCAGCAAGCGCTCGGACACTTTTTAGGTATTTTCGGGCGTACGTCGAGCGCAGGTAAGACTCTGTGTGGCAGAGGTGTCACCGTTGGTTTAATTACTCAAGTTTGAGGTACTTTCTCTCAGCGGAAAGTACCTGAGGGCTGTGCGGTCCTCCACAAAGGACCGCGCGGCCCTCATTAATTTTGCATATTCTCGCGGAAAGTCGGCGAGAATGCGGCCAATGCGCCGCAACTGATCCATAAGAAAACCGCGACACTTCTCCGAGCATTTGTCAAAAAATTGAACAATATTCTTCCAAATTTCTGCAGGCGGAGCGCAAGAAATCAGCGAACTATCTTTCCGGTGCCCGCTTGCCCAAAAATCGCATGGCCGCCTGCCCCCAGCGATTATCTGAGTTTCTACCTAATAATCTCTATAAGACGCTTTGGGATCATAGGTGCGATAGGGGGAGCAGGGTCCCCTCCAGGTGAAGGGGGTTTTGGCTATTTCTGACTTAGAAAAGTGAAGGAGGTAAGAACCTGAGATGAATGGTGACGCAAGCTTACATGTCTAACGGAAGTGGGAGTAAAAAGAAGGAAAATAAGTGGTATAGAGATGCAATTTGAAGATTTTCTCAATGCTCAGGCTTTGGAAGGTCATCCAACAGAGACTTTTTTGGCTCAGGAAAGCTTTATGTTTCATCAGTCAACACACCATTCGAAAGCTTGGAACATACAGAATCGACGTAGACCGTCTCTTTTTTCCCAGCTTACCTGTGAATTCAGATATAAAAAATCATATCTAGTTCTAGCATCAGCTGATTTTATGCAATCACTTTAAGCTCTATTTCTGAAAGAAAGAGGGAAGCTAGAAAAAAGAGACGGTCTACGTTTACTGGCAAGGCCTTGCTCTGTGATACTATTAGAAAATCAGGCACCTTCATTCATTCTTCACGCAGAAATTTCTTGACAAAAACACACATGTTTTTAGCTAAAATGCCATGTATCTCTAGATGAAGGGGAGCTAGAGAAAAAGAGACGGTCTATGTTGAATCCTTTTTTCGTGGGCTTTCTAATGGTATATAGGTTGTTGGGTGAAAGAACTTAAGGCTTTTAAAAAATGAGGAGGAGATATTCAATACTAACTTCCTCCACCCCGCTCCGGCTTTCTATGGTTCGCCGGAGCAAGACTTTTTTGGACTGGGAAAGCTTTATACACCAACACTTTACACACCATTCGATAGCTAAGAACACAAGGAATCGACATAGACCGTCTCTTTTTTCATAGCTTTTCTGCGAAGTGAGATACGAGCTGTTTTATCTAGCTACAATATCAGTCAAATCTGGATAATTATCTTTTCAAACCAAGAAGGTCTTTTTCGAACTTTTATATATGGTTCGAAAGCTTGAGAAACGAGTAATCTAACTGCCCTTTTATTTGTTATTATTCTCTCTAGTGAAAGGAGATATGGTACGATTCTTGTCAGTAAACATGCATCCATCACTAGCTAGTCCAGATTTTCTACTCTTGTTCAACTCTTTCTTGCGACAGTGTGCATTCATTGGTACAATGTTAATTATTCAAAGAATTAAACATTCCTTAAATTTTTGATAATGTTTCGTTATCAAGGCCACTTTGAGTGCGCAGAAGGTCTTAAGCATGCGTTTTTTCAACAAAACGCTGACAAAAAGTGCCGTTGTAACAGCTGTTTGATCGGCCGTTATGCCCTGATTCTAGTCTCAACCTCAGGTGAAAGGGGTCAGCCAGATGCCGGCTCTAAAGTGAAGGGGGTCAGAGTAATTTCTCCACCTATCGCATCTATGTTTGGGATGCTGTTGGTTAGGTTTACAATGACCAAAAAGGGTATTTTTTCCAAGCAGACAGAATCGCGGTTTCAGTTTATTAACAGTGTCAAATTGTTTAGCACCCCTTTGGATGTCGCGGACAATAATGCCGCACAAGTTTTGAGTGGGGTTCAGGTCTGGGGAGCACTGCTGGCCAATCAAGTAGCTGTATATTATTGTCACGCAATACTGTAAGGTTGCACCACACCTATGAACCGAGGCATTGTCTTGCATAAAAACGTATCCTTCCTGCCAGTACGGTACCAGATGACTACCTAACATCTCCACATACTCCGAACTGTTCATTTCATGAGAAATGAATGTGAGAAGGAGGGTTCCTGACGATTTGAAAGCGCCCCATACCATTACATTGCCTCCGCCGAAATTACGCTTGCTAAAAGTCGAGGCTCCTTGATCACGCCAGTAATAAGAAACCGTCGAGCCCGTCAAGATTAAATTTCTTCTCATTCGACCAAACAATCTGAACAGAAAATTTTTAGAACATGGGGTTGAACTAATAGTGAATGCGGTACCCTGCTCCAGTCAAGTGGATGCATAAGCTTCTCTTCTGCAAATGCGAGTCGCTGCTGCTTGTGAAGTTCTGTAAGCATTGGACACGGAGCCATCTTCGCTCTAACAATGTTTTCGCTTCTTCTAGCACTCTTCGAACTGTGCGAACTGAGCATCTAAGCTTTAAGGTCTTCCGAATTTGGGTCGAGCTGATAGTCGAATTAGATGCAGCTCGAATTATAAGCCTTTTGTCCCTAGTGCTGACCGTTGTCGGAAGCCCAGTGAAGAGAATTCTTCCATAGCTGCGTGGTTTGCTATATAGTTCTCAGATAATCGCCGGGGGCAGGCGGTCCGCAAACTCGCGCTTTTCTGCAGGCGCTCAGCAGAATTTTGGGGCGTGGCCAAACCTTCAGCGGGCGGTACTTTCGTCTTCTGCCAGCGGGCAGCAATACAAAATTTCCTGCAAGCGCTCCGCAAATAATTTCTTTCAGCGAGCGCTGACCAAATTTTCAGCAAGCGCTCGGACTCTTTTTAGGCATTTTCGGGCGTACGTCGAGCGCAGGTAAGACTCTGTGTGGCAGAGGTGTCACCGTTGGTTTAGTTACTCAAGTTTGAGGTACTTTCTCTCAGCGGAAAGTACCTGAGGGTTGAGCGGTCCTCCACAAAGGACCGTGCGGCCCTCGAAATTTTTGCATATTCTCGCGGAAAGTCCGCGAGAATGCGGCCACTGCGCCGCAGCTAATCCATAAAGAAACCGCGATTGTTCTTCAAGCATTCGTCTTTAATTTCGCCAACTTTCTTCCAAATTTCTGCAAGCGGGCCGCAAAAAATCAACGAACTATTTTTCCGGTGCGCGCTTGCTCAAAATTCGCATGCCCGCCTGCCCCCGGCGATTATCTGAGTTGCTGACAACAGTACGGCTACTTTCGATTTCTATGGCAATGCGACGAATGGGCCCATTCAATGAGTGGAAGGCCACGATGCGTCCCTTTTTGTAATCCGATAGAAGCTGACCATGCGTCATAACTCGCGCTTCAACGATGTATCCGTACGAAAATTACCGAGAGCCAAAGAGACTTGTAAATGCTCAGATCACAAGGTGGCTTTATAGCTATGGCCAGCCTTTATTTTGCAATTTTTGGCGTTTTGCTGTATTTTCTTTTGATTGGTTTAAATTTATTGTGGTTTGAGTATGTGAAGAATCGATGTTAAACACATATTTCTTTAGAAATTTGGAAAAATTTAAAAATTTATCTGTTGAGTACAAAGCGAGATAGAGCTAATTCTAGAGTGGCTTTATAGTTATGGTTAGCACTGTATCAAAGGTAACTATGTTATCATAGTGAGAATCCAGCATTCTCGATAGTGATTGGAGTGCAGCATTCTAAATATCAGTGTACGGTGAGGTAACTTTGTAGGACTCGATAATTCTATCAAGTAGTTCCATAACTTCTTGCGTATTATAAATCAGCAGAATCATCAATTACAGGAAAATCCAGTCAATGATACAATCCTTGATATGGCGCACTACCTTTTGGCACACTCTGTTAACTCGCTCCTAACTCTCAATTTCTCATACGGCAGCGCGCCGGGTTCCAAGAAAGTCATCTAACCCGCTCCTGAAATTGAGACATGCACTATTCATAAGGTTTGCGAGAGAGCGGAGCAAATGATAATCTGATAGAGCGAAATTTGGAGAATATGTTGGGTACTGAAGTATCTTCCAGTCAAATCTTGCAGGACAGATTTGATGATGTTTGCTAAGAGGAGCTGTTTTGTCATGCAGAAAAACACACTGGATCTGTCTATTGAGTTTTTTCTGCGGTGGAAGCTGGTTTAAACGGTGCAGTTGGATTGCTTATGGTAAGGTTGACCGTCGCCTACTTGACCAGCAATTTTCAGTGTAGGACGTCCTGCCCATACAACGAAAAGCTTGTTCAGGGGTAACCTGCTCAGCCCTGATCTTTTGTAGCAATCCAATCAGGGCCCGGCACAGATCGTCTGGAAGCAGGCTGGACTTCGTTTTTTGGAGCAAAAAGCAAAGGGGATTTTGTTTTTGACGAGTCGGGGCCGAGCACGAGGAATAAGCGCCATTAAGTCGAGCACAAGCTTATCGGACAGGTTATCACACTGTTGACATGCTCTATCGTGTATGGCGAAAAGTCTCCAGACAGCCACCAGACGATCTGAGATCGTTTGGAGCATATATTTTCATCACTTCACATAAGTTTCGGTTTTCTTTAGCATGGACGGATACGCCGGTCAAGAATCTATCGTTGAGCATAGGGACAGTTTCATATCGCCTCCTGTCCACCGTTTTTACCCTACTTTTTTGAAAATTGCCTTGTTAGATATCGCGCCCCAGCGTCAACGTTTCTGCTTCCTCTCAATTTGAATTTTCATTCTCAGTTTCAGCTTTTTCCACTCTTCCAATAATTTCTTCCATTTTCTTTCTTCTTCTTTTTCTTTCTTCAGCTCGTGATTTATTTTGATCGTTCTGTGACCATGTAGGACTTTATGAAGCAAAATTTTGCGGATTTTGTGGTTTTTCTTTGAGAGTTTGGCCTGAAATCGCGAGATTCGTAGCTCGCAGCGGGTAAGTGGTTTTGTCAAAAACAAAGTGCAAAGATCCACCAACAATCGGAGGGGGGTAGAGCAAGGGTCAAAGGAAACTTCGTAAAATTTTCGAAAGTCAGGGAGACTTCGTTTTTGAAAAGCCTAGAAACGGACTCGTGCCGGGCCCTGAATCCAATCCTTTCTTGTCTCATATTGATGTGCGAGCCCCATGTTCATGATCTACAAAAAAACATACGCAAAAGCGCTTCTTTTCATGAGAAAAAACGCGCAAATGTTGCAATTGCTCCTTTTTGCCTTGCAAGATTTCCATCTGTGGAAGCTACAAGATCCGAGTGAATCAGCTTTTCATCGGAATTAGCAGACATATTTCAAAGAGCATAATTAACGCCCTTCCCAATGGTACCCTCACCTTCCCGCAAATCAACAGCTCCTCAAAAAAATGAGGACGAAAATGAATACGCTACGAACTTATGTAACCACCATCGGCGTATCCAGGATTTCCGTTCGGGGAGGGGGCGAGGGGGGGCGCGACAAAGAATTTTTCTTATGAAGGATGCGTGGCGTTGGCCACGCACCAAGAAAAGTTGTTTGGGATGCTTCTCGAAATTTTCACGGGCCCATAACCCCGAAATTTCAGAAAAAGGGGGCGACTTTTGAAAAAATTTGAAAATTTGTTTGATTATTTGCATGTATAAAGAAGTCACTGACAAACTTTTATAACTCATGTAAGTAATTTTCAAGTTTCGCGACCCATTCTCGGCGAGCCCCCCCCCCCCCCTCCCCCTCGTACGCCATTGGCAATGACCTAATAGTCGTATATTATGTAGCAAAGAGACAAGATTGTTATGAGCTTTTATTGGCCGACGTTTCGGCGGTTTCGCCTTCTTCAGAGCTTGGAAGGTCAAAGTCAGCAATCTTTTCACTCAGTCGTCAACAGAAGGCTCAGATTTGCATTCGATCGGTTAGATCGTGCTCGGAATTACGGTAGTCAAGCCTAAAACCGCTGGGACGTCGGCCAATAAAAGCTCATAACAATCTTGTCTCTTTGCTAAATACTAATATACGACTACATAATATGACAAGATTAAAAGACAGCCGAACATGGAAAGTTCTAAATGACCTAATATTTTCACTAATATTGACGTTCTCAACTGTTTTACAAACTGTTAAGTATTGTATTAAGCAAATGCTCAGGATTGTGAGCTGTTCGCTTGCGATTTTATAAAGAAACGATGATGTTCTATCTGCGGGGCTACCAACACAGCTTATAATCGGCCAAAGTTATCACAGACAATAACGCTTGGTGTTAATTTGTGGGTCTTTGAGAGATAGTAGGACACTGGGCAAACTGGTGTCCAGATTTTGGTAACATGTTTCTCGTGCAATCCTACATATCTTGCTACACTAACCCAAACTTCGTTCAGTTTCTGCGCTGCATTTGGTAATTTCAATTCTTTCTTCCTTCTCTTATATTTACTTCACCGGCGTATCACTACGTTGCGCGCGAGACGAAGTCCGGATTCACTGATGTTTGGGGATGGCGTTTGGCGACCTCTCCAAACTCAAACTGCAATCTACTTGAGACCTCGGAAAACGACGACTGTGTGGAAGGAAAGGTCGAATGAACGAATCACCGCAGTAACCTGGGTCCGGCATATTAACACAACTACTACTCCAGAATGCCCAGCTTCAGAGAAGAAAGAACTTGGAACTAACCGAGGCTTCTCCTAAAAATGGCTCCTTTGGTATACATCGATCACGTAACAGGTTTTTATTGGCAGCCAATGATTTCTTAACATCAATTTACGAAAGTTTGTATGGGCTATATGAAAAAATTCTTGGGGAAAGGAAATACGTTTGGAAGAATGTCTGGGAGTGGATTAGCTGACGTTTCTCATTGATTTCGTTTTCCCTTCCTGAGAAATCTAAGAACACATCGGAACTACATACCTTGCACAATTTCGGTTTTGAGTTTCTTGTATTTGACAATCTCCATCATATTTCTATAATTACAACAATGACCACATCTGTATTCAAGTTCAATGTTCACAAGAAGCACTTGACGACGGAATGATTCTCACTGCAAGGAAGAAACATGAAAAGTACGATAGTCGCCATGATAGATGTTTGGCATTTGAAAGCTATGACAGATATGGAGTTGCTTGAATCTATGCTTGGAAAGCCAATCAAAGAATATTACAACAAGTAGACCAATCGATATTACTTAGTTTTTTGAGACACAAGTGAAGAAAGTGGGATTGTTTACACTAAACGAGCATGAAACCGCTATCACCTTTTCTGGACTAATCTTTTTGAATGGACATACAATGATCCTTTAAAAACTGACTACCGATGTTTGTTTTGCCTGACAATACCAGCATCTTCTGCCATTGAACGAAATAAGCCGTCCCGCTTCGCTAAAAGCTTGCTGGGTGAATCAAATTCTACTGCTCTACCCGCGTCCATTACTAGTAGCCGATCATAGTCCATAACCTAGATGACATAATTTTTGGGGCGGAACACAACTCTTTTCTGATTTTTTCCTAAATTTTAGTTTCCTACATATTGTTCAACTTTTATATTCCTAAGAGAGGTTATTGCGCATCTATTATAGTAGTAACAGCCGCTCTCTGCCGCTATGCGGCAGGTTTGGGTGGTACTCTTCCTGCCTCGTGAATCTTCCGTTTTACTTTATAGTGCGGAAATGTAAAAAGTCAGTAACACTTGGCCGTCCCGAAGTTCATGCGAAGTTTGGTTTAGAGCATAATTCTTGTTGGCATTTTAAGCTTGTCATAAAAGTTGCTAAGCAAAAACAGAAAGAATCAGTAAATCGATAGACGCAATCGGTGTGTCCCGAACAAAATGAATTATTAACACACGCCCCACCACATACATTATGTCTTCCAAATTTAATTCAGATTCCATAATTCCTTTTATCCTTTTTGGGCGAACATGAAAAATTTTTGGAGCAAAAATTGTAAAAAAAAATAATAAATCGATAAAGGCAATCGGTAGATTCTGAATAAAATGGCTTATTAACACATTACCAACCCATACATTATGTTTATGTCTGCCAAATCTGGTTCAAATTCTATGATTTCTTCTATCTTTTTCAAGCGAACATAAAAAAATTTTCCAAGCAAAAACTGCAAAAAATCAATAAACCGATACAAGCAATCCGCATGTCGCGAACGAAATGGCTTATAAACACACGCCCCACCCTACACATTATGCCTGCCAAATTTGGTCTAGATTCCATTACCCATTCTATCCTTTTTAAGCGAAGATACAAAAAGTGGCTAAGCCAAATATTATATAAGTATTGATACTCAAAGCAATATCATTGTTGGCATATGCGGCCATGATGCCAATGAAGAGAAACACTCAGTCGTACTATTCTGAAAACTTTGGTCGCTGAATACGATGAAATTGATAATGCTCGAGATTCGAGTTTGGTCCGACGTTTGGCTCCATGACTAATTTTTTTCAAACAGAAATTCATACTAACAATAAATCTCTACAGTCGTTGTAGTTCGAATCAAGTTATGATACACGCTTCTAAAGCTACTGCATGACGAAGGCGCAGAAGCAGTATTATTGAGCGAACGCGAACGCTTCGCGCGCGTATCTTCACCGTTGTAAAATTTACAATGTAAATCCTGCATCTCTTGCGCTCCATTTGCGCTCAAAGTTATTGCGCGTTCGTCAGGCAGTAGCCTATATCTGATATATGAGGTCTGGTTCGTTTGCACAATCTAATTCAGTAAGTTCGTTTGCACCTATATTGTCATTCTCTCAATAGATTTTCCCAAAATCTTCTTCAAGACTCCCACTAATCATACAGTAACCACAGGAGATCGGTAATTCGCTCCATGCTATTGAACTAATTTGAAGCCAGCTCTAAGAATGGTACTTGAAGGCCGGCGCAGGACTTGAAGCCGAGAGAGATGGTAATGGTCAAGGTAGAGACATTTTTGGGACACCTTATATAAATGGGACAGAAACAGGAAAATGCTGTGTAGAATTGGGACGGAATGGTTAGTTTTACTATGGTTTGTAGAACGGTGGAACCAGATGTGCTAATTATTGTAATTTTTCAATAAAAGTAATCTAAGATGGCTTTAAGCTTGACGAAATTTTATAATTTCTAGCTGCACAACTCTTGTTTATACCTGATTACGATCTTAAGTTACACTAGTTTGAGCTGTTTGTATTCGCACCAACGCTTACCGTGTTCAAACGATGAGCAATGGTCAACACCGTAGAGTCAGCGAACTGTTCGCGAATGGTTTGCTGAAGCAAGGAGTCGGTTTCAGCGTCAACAGCGGCTGCTGCCTCGTCCAAAACGAGAATTTTCGAACGACGAAGTAGAGCTCGTGCCAAACATAGCAACTGCCGCTGTCCAGCACTGAATTAGGGATATCTAATCTGCAAACAAGTCAAACTAGACTTTTGGAGCAAACATCGGAAGGAATACCGCAAAATTATAGCTCAACACGAGGTGCTTTTATAATTTTTAGGAAAGTTCCGTTGACTTCGCAACAAGTATACGACATCCCCACAAAATCCCCTAATGACTGAACCAAACATGCATAACAAAAAAGAGTAACAAAGATTGAGAAAAACAACGGAAGAGACTTTTAAGAGATCTATAATGTTTGTATTTCTAGCACTGGTAACAAGCTGTGTCCGGCGTGCGTCGCCGCGCGCTTGGAGCACAATTACCGCCGCATTTTGAAGTTTTTGAAGGGCTTAACCAAGAGTGGTTTTGGAGTTCGAATAGCAAGTGTAGGGTCTTCAGTGTAGATTATAATTACGTGAAAAGCGGAAAATTTTTATCAAGAGAAAAAAGTGTATGACATAGTTCTCTCTGAGCTCCCGCAGGTGGCTTTCCAAGTGGTTCAAAAGCCACCTGACTCCAAGGTCCCCATACCCTCAGTTCACACAATTTTTTCATAAATTTTCATAGTGCTAGCTCCCTGTTGCGCATCTGCGCACCGATTTTGGTGCCATATCTTTTCCTGTTCGCTGTAACCAAACCTTTTGTTTATTTGCACATTTCCCGCGCTTGCACAGAGAACGGAAATTTGCTCTTTTTGCAGGGAATGGGAGCGGTAGGACAGTGATGAGCATTTGCGAAATCTCCAGAAGATGAGAGGTGAGGTAAAAGAGGGGGGGGGGGGGGTGATTGTAAAGGGTGGGGGTTGTTGGAGGGGATGAGAGGTGGGGATATGTGTAGGCGATTGATAGCACGCAAAGACTGCGGACGTATCGGCTTTTCTCTGATTGATCTTTCGTTTCTCTTACCATCTGCTGTCTCTCCCATGCACAAACTATCTTGACCGAACGCAACGGCGCCCAGTCTTTGCGTGTATAAATTGTGTATATGCGCATTATATGTAACAACTAGCTGGCTTACCCGGCTCCGCCCGGCCCTGTCAAAAACGATAAAGGCTCCATTTCTATCCCTGTACACTTTTACCTGTGCACAATTCTACATGCAATTCCCTATTCCCGCTGTGTGAGTAATCAGTATGCTCACCTACCTTCCTCATCAACCCCCCAGCCCCGTAGCTCAAACTTTGCAAAAAAATCGATAAAATCGATAAGAGTAATCGATATATCTGAAAACTAATATTGTATTCGGAATCCCCATGCTCGATTACCCCCCTGTGCAAACTCCCAGCCCCCTAGCTCAAACTTTGCAAAAAATCGATAAAAATCGATAAAATCGATATCGATCGATGACGAAAAGTAGCCTATGACACCCGCCGGGGCCCGAAGGGTATGTGTGCCAAGTTTGGTCCGGATCGGTTCAGAAATGGAATCTTCTATTCGGAACATACGTACAGACATACAGACAAACAGACATTTAGCTTTATATGTGAGATAGCTGCGGTAAAAGTATTGTTTGACAAACAAAGGAAGGGCTGAAAAAATTCGTTGGGTCAATGGGCGTGAAAATGGTCAACTTCTCAAAGTTTTCTATTGGTCTAATTAATACGAAAAATCAGTAAGATTGCTTTTACTCCAGAGATTCCGATTTTGCATTGGCGATTTCTTCATATACATCCACCATACTAGGCTAGGCTGATACAGAAATTTTTTTTCCGGCGCCCATTCCAAACCCCTCAAAATGATATCCCCTTTCCTTCTGACCCCCAAAACGACACCCAGCTTAAGCCACCTGTGTCGAGCCCCGCGAATTATTTATCGTCATTGTTGTTTGGATTTGTTAGGTTGAAAAAATCAGCTTTCTTATGACTTATTGCTAAGGGTGCGGAACCTCAGTTTGCCTCCTGAAAAACCTCACAATTGGAAAAAATTCATGAATTGATTCAAAAGTCAAAAATCTGGGATTCACGCCGATATTTTGCCTTTATTTTGAAGGGACAGTACTTTTTCCGCATCCTGTAATTCTACATTTGAGGAAGAGTTAGGCATAGATTCAGTAGAACTCGAGGAACGCCTTTATGAACCACTGTTATATGCAGTAAATGATACCTAAGGTTCTGGCCTCCTTCAGAGATGTGATACAGCAGATTGCCAGCGAGCGAGGCTACAAAAGTCTCAAGGTGAGCATTTCTTAGAGCATGCCATATCTCCTCATCATCTGAAAGGTCAATGTGAGTAACGACCTCTTAGGCCCGTATGCACGTACATCCCCGCTGGGGAGGGGAGGGGATCTGAGAGGGGATGCGCCATATCTTGTCACTTTACGTACCTTTCTTCTTCCTTTTCTATCTTGCTTATGAAGGTTCTCATACCCTACTACCTGCGCATAATTGATGCCCGGTTACTGGCATAACTGATTAGAGTTGTACTATTTTGTGTGATCCCTCACCTCTCATTTTCAAAGTCATTTATCTTCCTGAGAAATCAATGGAAACGCCGCAAAATTGTACTGAGGATATACTACGGCACTGCTAAGCATGTTTTCGACAGAAAAAATGGAATCTGAAGATTGTGAATTTTTCGATGATCCCTAGCTTTTGAGCCAGGGATTAACGAAGATTTCGATGTCCTGAGATTTCACTTATTTTTACTTTAAACATGCTTAGCAGTGCCGTAGTATATCCTCAGTACAATTTTGCGGCGTTTCCATTGATTTCTCAGGAAGATAAATGACTTTGAAAATGAGAGGTGATCCCCTGGGGATCCCCTGGGGATCCCCAGGGGATCACACAAAATAGTACAAATCTAATCAGTTATGCCTGTAACCTGGCATCGATTATGCGCACGTAGTAGGGTATGAGAACCTTTATAAGCAAGATAGAAAAGGAAGAAGAAAGATACGTAAAGTAGCGAGATATGACGCATCCCCTCTCAGATCCCCTCCCCTCCCCAGCGGGGATGTACGTGCATACGGGCCTTATTCAATAATGTTTGCGTACTATAAGCATCAAATGGGTCTAGGTTGAATCGAAGTGTGCCTGAGAAGAGGACTGGATCCTGAGGAACGATGGTGAGACGAGATCTCAAATCCTAGATGAAAGTTTGAAAGTCGCTGGCTCTACCTAAGTTCTTTTTCTCTAAACAATCCTAAAATCATCTCAACCCCGGTAACTATGAAAGGAAAAGCCGAAGCAGTATAACTTACGCTGCTTTTCGGTACTATCAAGTCATTGTATTAGGATGATAATTGACTGGAAGCAAAAAAAAACATTTGGACCAGATAATTTTGACGTACCTCTAGGCCAAGGGTGGAAATGCTGTAGCCATCTATCTCGATGGATCCACTATCAATTTCGACAGTCCGAAACAGCGCCATTGCGAGCGAGCTTTTACCTTAAGTAGCAAAAACAAATCAGATGGAACCAAATAAGCAGCGGTAAGTGGCTTCTGTGCATATAAAGCAAAATCAGCAGTCCTGCAAATGTTGAGAAGACTCAAGACTGAAAAACTTAGGTACTACATATATTATCAAATGTTTTCGAAAAAAAAGCAGCAGCAGTGAAATTCTGTTCATCTTCTAAGTTTCTTTACCTGCCCCAGTTCTCCCAACAATTCCAATCTTTTCTCTCGGCTCTATGCTCGCAGACACATGCTTCAGCACCAGGTCGAGCCCAGCTCGGTATCTGCAGTATGTCATAGGAGAATACACACATCATTGGCATTTTTTGCTAGTCACCTCATGCATACATCTTTGAGCACGATTTTTCCGTATTTTGGCCAGCTATCCACTGGTTTCTGCTTGGATTGTGCTCCTTCAACAGGACTATCTGTGTATTCCTTGATGCGTTCGACAGCTACTATGTTAGTTTCCAAATCGCTTGCTATTCTGACAGCCAAGTTCAAAGTGCGCGTTATCTAAAATCACTAAGAGATCGAGTTCGCCTTCGTTGGAGTGTCGAGTGGCACCATGCAATTACTGAACCTTCGGACATGTGCTTTTGCTTGAGCAGCTGTTTATACAAAAATTTCAGACTTGTCGTATTTGATAATCTTCTTTATTCATCCAGCCTACTTGAATCTCATAGAGGTGACATTTCTTCCATTGTAAAACACGTTTTTTTTTTTACAAAATAGCGACCTAGACCGCTTACAGCCATTTTACAGCGTCAAAACCGGCGACCTTTCCATAAAGCTGTCGGGATTTCAGAAACAGAGAGTCAGTCACAGGTTCGACAACGTGGGCGGACGAAGCCGGTCATAAGAATATGTGGTGACCGACCCACCCATTCTTGAACCCGACTGGTGATTTTTCGTGGATTTAGATCTTCCACAACAGAGACTTATGATGGAACCCCTCAAACTATATCTTAGAAAAATGAGCTATCTATGTGCCTTATTGGTACATATTTTCAACATTTCTGTGTTGCTGACAATGAGAGAAGTAACGCGGTTGGGAAGCATGCACTTGTGACGGCGGTCCCTTAAAGGTTAGGTAGGCGCCAGACTAAGCGACTGTTTTGTTCAGCTGCAGAACGCGCGCAGAATTAACATTAATTTTGCGCCGTCCTGCAGCTGAAGCAGGCAATAGTCCGCAGATTTAACGTTAAATCTGCGCGCGTTCTGCAGCTAAACAAAACAGTCGCTTATTCTGGCGCCTACCTCAAAGGCAGTGTCCGGGCAAAAACTGGATTTCCAGAAGATCCACTTACCGGGGATTATCCGCAACGCTGAATCCGAATCAGGGTCAAGCGTGTTGATGCGATCCGAGACCCCCATTTACGACCCCCCCCCCCATTTACCCCCTTACCTCCCCTGCCCACATTCCTCGCGGAAACCTGTTAAACGAATGTCAATCTCAAAAAACATCTGCGTGGAACTTCAGTGAGGTTTCGGAAGCAGAATTTCTAAGCCAATAGGTGCACCCAGCATGTGTAGCGCACATACACACCTTCAGTAGTGTTTGAGACTCTACAAGTTTTTTTTTTGAATTTTCAGGCATACTTCAGGCCAGCAAATTCGGTTCCCGTAGGCGAAACAAATTTTTGCACGGAGAAGAAAATGACATTCTTGAACAATAAAAGATGTTTTCGACTAAGAAGCTTACTTCCTACCTCTTCTACCTTTTTTCCCGCGAAAAAACTGCTTGAGCGCCGTCCAGAACGACGTCGAAAACATGCATGAGCACGGTAGTTTGAAAATTCGTAACTATGGCCAGGAAAAGACTGAGAGGCTGCAAAGCACAGGTTCTGTATTATAGTGTCCAGACTATCAACAGAAAAAGTTTCAGCCTTTGAGGAACAGTGAGCTCGAAAAAATCTAGATGCGACTCTCGCAAATTTAGATGCGATCCTAAAAAGCAAAAACTGGGATTTTTGAGCTTAAAATTTTGTAACTCATCGGAGAAATTATGAAACGGCCTGAAATTTTTAGGATATAAAGTAGGAAGATGGCCTCGTATTACAGCAAAATTGCAGCCAACAAGCTTCAATAGCTCCGGAAAAATCTAGATGCGACCCAGATACGACCCCCTTTCTGTCATTTTTTGCCACCATACATAAAATCATAAGAAAATCCGAAGGCCATAAAGTAGGACCAAATTTTGCACAAGTGTAGTAGAGCACCTCTTAAACAGATAAATTGTAAGGGCCGTATGAAAAGCATTACAACTAGATTTACAAATTATTGATAATTAGCGTTGATAGAGATATGCGCTTTTGTCGAGCGTGCGAGTCTTCAGTGAGCCTTCGGAAGCAGGATGTCTATACCAATCAGTACATCCAACATCTTTGTCACACATACATGTCTTTAGTAGCCTTTGAGCTCTTAAAAGTTTTTATTTTTTAATTTTAGTCATGCCAGCAGGGTTCGATCCCCGTTTGCGACAATATTTTGCGGGAGAAATAGTGATTCCCATAAAAAAATGAACTAAGTCATAATCTTTCACTACGTTTGCAAGTGTTTTCGAACTATTGTTTACGTTTTTATTTGATACATTGGACATGGCATTCCATGAATTTATTGTTAAGAACATGTAATAATTATTTGCCATCCGATTTCCTTCCATGCTTACGGTTATTTAATCCAAACTACCTCCTTTTACGACCCCCCCCCCCCCTTCACCGTAGGTACCCGCTTACGACCCCCCGTTGCGACAGTCGCATCACACGCTTGACCCTGATCTGAATCCACATTGGAACGCGCGAAAACGGCGAGAACATGCGTTTTCCAAAGCATTACAATTTGGAATTCGACGGTCCGCGCAGGCTGAGACGCAGACACTGCGGGACCCTACGATTGACTGTGGCGGCAGGCGCCATCGAGTGGAGGAACGAACACCTCAATTAGGCACCGCCTCCGCGGCCTACTGGTCCTAACACGATGCATAACAGTACGACGAAAGGACCAGCAGCCCGCGGAGGCGAGGCTCAATTGAGGTGTTCGTTCCTCTGCCCGGCGCCATCTAAATCTACAGGCCATTCATTGCACGCAAAGACTGCGGACGTATCGGCGTCTCCCTGATCAAGCGCTCTTTCGTTCCTCTTACTATCTGCGATCTCTTCTGAGCACGAGCTATCTTGGATGGACGCAACGGCCTCCAGTCTTTGCGTGTTACGAGTCGCCGATACTTACCCGCTGCGCGGGCGGTCGCGCGCGCCATCATTGCGTATCGCGACCAAGGGCTCGCTTGTTGCCAGAGGTTGATCTCCGAAGAACTGTTGCGACGTATGGGTTTTTTCGCTGTACAATGGTCAGGATGCTTGGAAGATTGAATAAAGCAGTATTAGGTAGCAGTTTGGCTCGTGTATTCTGGAGGTTTCGATAGGTGCGTCTTCGCTGTTTGTTTGGGTCATAAGTGTTGCAACTTTGAGATTGTGCGTATGGTGCCTGACTTATTGATGAAAATGCTGGAAGTTCCTTTTCCAGCAAGGTATACTTCTACTCTTACAATCCTCATATCGTCATCCTAGCTAAAATGCTTTGATATCACACGCAGTTCTAGATAAACTTGCTAGAGAGGTAGACGCCAGACTTATCCGGTTCAATCGTCATACGGTTCACTCCTTCGCTATTGGTCAAATCACTAGATTGACTAATAGCGAACGGCTGAAAAAGGACGAACCAAATCGGGTAAGTGGCGCCTGCCATACATGTTAACATAGTTTTAGCAAACATGAGGAGTGTCGTTGATTCTGCTTGATACCTAATTACACCTCAATGTTTTCCGAAAAGTTCTGATTGTGAGATATGAAATTTGTTCACTTCTTTCTTTTCTCTCCAATGCAATATTGTCTGATAAGTGTCTAAGAAATCATGAATGTTGTCAACATTGATGCGACCACACTCAAGATGAGCTCGTCCCAGTCTAGCGTGTATATACAGTTTTCACTGTAGTAAAATGGATATGCAGAGCATATGAATGTTGAGACCTAACTCTGCATTCTCATGTTTGACATAGTCACGTTAAAAAAATCAGGAGAAGATTCAGAAGTAATGCATGTTAGATGACTTGAGTAAATGTCCTTCTTTAAGCTATATATATATATATATATCTTATATATAAAGTTGAATGTCTGTATGTCTGTCTGTCTGTCTGTACGTATGTGCGGAATAGAAATTTTTATTTCTGAACCGATCGGGACCAAACTTGGCACACATACACTTCGGGCCCCGGCGGGTGTCATAGGCTACTTTTTGTATCGATCGATATCGATTTTATCGATTTTTTGCAAAATTTGAGCTACGGGGCTGGGAGTTGGCATAGGGGGTAATTGAGCATGCTGATTACAAATATGTTATTGACAGGGCCGGGCGGAGCTGGGTTTGCCAACTAGTATATATATATATATACAGGGTGTCCCAAAAAAATGTATCGAACGTTTGATCGTTAATATGTCTCTTCAAAAGAAGTCTTTTCTCTTGCTTTAGGTACCAATCTGTAGAGCTGGCTTCAACCTTAGATTTGCATTATAGAACGAATCACTCATTTCTCTTCATTACTGTAGGATTAGGTAGAAACTTCAAAGAGGATTTTAAGCAATGAAAGGCCATATTTTGCCTTAGAAAGGAAACAAAACAGCCTGAAAGCTTTTACACTAGGCTAATTAGAGTTGCTGATTATAACTGTAAAGTTCACAACTTGCTATGATGCTTCATTGAAGAGTTATGCCAGGTAAGAGGGAGCGGCCATTTTTTCAATGTTCCTAAAAAGTGCGATAACACCATTTAGAAAGCTTCGTAATCTTGTGAATAGTTGAGTATTGAACTCAGCGTCCATATAAACCCTATTACATATGTTTTTACAGTTTTTTGAAAAATTTTGAAACGGCAGCTTTTCCCACATTGACACCATATGTTTCAAGTTTCTACCGTAATCCTATAGTAATGAAGAGAGATGGGTGATTCGTTCTATAATGCAAATCTAAGTTGAAGCCAGCTCTACAAAACGGTACTTGAAGCAAGGCAAAAGACTGCTTGGGAAGAGAGATATTAACGATCAAACGTTCGATACATTTTTTTGGGACACTAGTACTCTGCGTTGATACCACTGCTT